AGTCCAGACTGAACAAACTAAAACCTTTTGAGTTTTTATGACGACTGAAGCTGCCACAGGTTCTTCTTCATGTTTGGAAGGAGAGGGGGAGGGGAGGGGTGTTCAGCTGCAACATGACACTTCACCACTAGATGTCACTAAATTCTACACACTGGACCTTTAAGATACAGAAGCATTTTATATAAGATTGCACAAATCGAACCTTCACTTTGATTCTGAAAGGTTCAGGATCAGTTCCCTTCTCTCTGTTAGAACATGTTCGAACTTAGTTCTTGGTATAAAATCCACATCTTTCTTCGAGCACTTGATTTGTATCAGTTTAATAAACAAACAAATGTGATGAGAAAATATTTCCACTGATTCTTTCCACAAACATCACAAAGTCATTCATTGTGTCACGATGTGTAAAAATATTTCTGAGTAAACAAACTGATTCATCTGTGACACGTGAGTCAATCACATCAACAGCTCTTCAGTCTTCAGAAGTGATGACAGATACTCGTCACAGACGTCTTCACTTCACTTAGTGGCCAACAAATCGAAAAAACGTCCGTTACACGACTCTGAAGAAAAGAACGTCCAACCAGGAAACACATGACAGTTATTCTTACGTGGCAAACAGCCGGAGGAGAAGACATACAAACACTTATTCATACTTCATATTTATACATTCATTTGAACTGTAATGCAGAAAAATACATGAAGGTAAGAAAGTACAAACGTTTGGAGTTCAGTGTTCGTCCTCAGGCTGAATTCCTGTGGCCACCAGTGACTCATGTGATTTACACAGTGTCTCTCATGACATGTTCATATTCTATATAATAATATATATAATATTTGTTGGATGACCATGTGAGAACAATGATGTCAGATGTGTCTCTGGTGACAAAGAGAATTCTGAGCTGAGTCTGCAGCACAAGTTTCAGCTGTTTTCAGAGAAGATGGAAAAAAGCTTCTGTCCACGACGGCTCAGCAGGAAACAGTGAACACAGCTGAGCATTTAGCAGCGAATCCCTCAGGAGCTGGAGACAGAACAGAGTCAGAAGGGGGGAACACTGGACTCTTATCTGTATGAATTCTCATGTGACTCTTTAAGTGTGATGTCTGACTGAAACTCCTCCTACAGACGTTACAAGTATACGGCTTTTCACCCGTGTGGATTCTTTCGTGAATTCTGTACGCTGAATTTTGTCTGAATCTTTTCCCGCATCTCTTGCAGAGGTACGGCTTCTCCCCCGTGTGAATCCTCATGTGCTGTTGCAAGTTTGTTTTCTGAATAAATATATTCCCACATATTTCACAAGAATACGGCCTCTCCCCCGTGTGGATCCTCATATGTCTCTTCAAGTCAGAGTTACTTCGAAAAGCTTTTCCACAAGTGTCACATTTTGAAGTCTTCTTACCTGTGTGAGTGTTGCAGGGACTCAGGGTTGGGGGACAGTTGTCTCCACTGTCTCTATGACGTCTCTTGTTTCTCTGGGACTCTTCATTTCCAGTGGCTCCTGGGTCCACATGCTCACGTCCTCTCTGATCTTGGCTCTCAGCTCCAGCAGAGCTGTGACAGAGGAGCTGCTGCTCACTGTTTGCTCCTGGTTCACTGTGCTCGCTTCCCTCATAAGTAGACGTCAACATAAAGGTCTGGATCTCCTGCTTCAGCACGAGCTGCTCTCCCTCCTGACTGGTGCAGAGCTCCTCCTGCTCCTCTTTAATGTGTGGAGGCTCTGGACCAAGAGGGTCCAGACTGGGGTTCCTCTCCTGGTCAGTGAGAACCTCCTCCTCTTCCTCCTCCTCCTCCT